ATACTGAATTGGGTTCATTTTTAAAAAATATAAATGTCAAAGGAACAAGAATTATCTAAATTTTATAATACTTATAAAAATAAAATAGAATATGCATATAATAATAGAGATAAATTATATGGGATTAATCCTAATACTAACTCAAAGCACAATTTAAAAAATTTTTATTCTGGTATTTATAATTATTTTAATATTAGTAATAATAGAACACAAAAATTATTAGATGATATATATGATATATATACTACTAATAAACGAAGTATAAATGCAAGTATATCTAAAATGCTAGAAGTTACTGGTTCACATGAATTTAAAAAAGATGCAAATACACCTAAACCAGAAGTTAAAGAAATTAAACAAACACCAGAAATTCAATTAAATGCTGAATTAAGACCTCAACCGTCAGCCTACGGCGTGAGTTTCTCGTCAATTCAACCACACGGTACAACCACTACTATAGCTACTTATCCACCAACTAATTATTTTAAGAAAGATAGAACAATTAAACAATTATTTAATGTAGATATGAATCAATATGTTCCATCATTAGCTAAAAATATATATACTTATTTCAATAACAAAGATATAATTTATGCTAATAATTTTAAACCATCTCCATCTAAATATTCATTTTATAATAAAAATTTTGCTTATAAATTTGTTGCAATACCAAATACTTATATGTTTGATATATTGTATTTCTCTGATAAAGATAAGAGAGTAACTCAACAAAAATATGATAAACCATCTGTAAAAATAAATTTTGATCACAGAGTTCATAAAAATAATCCATTACATCCATACCTAATAGGTATAAATGTTAATACAAGATATGGGTATGTTATTTCTATTAAAGATAAAACTGCATCATCAATTATAAATGGTTTTGAAGAATTATTTAAACAAGGAATAAAAATGACAAATTTAATATTTGATGGAGAACGAGGTATATCATCAAATGATTTTGCTGATTATATTAATTCTAAGAACATTAAATTATTTGTTACAGCAACAAAAATTCATACTTCTACAGCTCCTATTGATAGATTATGTAGAACTATAAGAGATTTATATGTCAAATATTATATTTTAAATGATGATGAATATAAAAACATTATTAATTCTATATCATTTCAAAACATGAAACGAAAAGAATTACTCCAATACATGACTAAAATACGTAAATTATTTAATGAAGGAGATCCAAAACGTATAACACCAGTTCCAACAACAGAAGAAGTATATAAATTAATGCAATATTATAATGATAGTTGTCATGATGGTTTAGTAAAAATATTTAGAGAATGTGGTAAAATATATAATTTTTATTATATTGATCCTAGTTACATAACACCTAAAATGGTACAAAATGATAAAATGTTAGAGAGAATAATTATATCATATTGTCAACATTATAATCAAAAAATAAGAAATAAATTAAAAAATTCAAAATATGATTTTAACAATGAAGAAGATGTTATTTTATTTGATGTTGAAGATGGAAATTTAAGAAAAAATAATAAATATATTGATTCTAAAAATGGAAA